ATCGTCGAAATAATAAAAATTCCTTTTTGCTTGGTAATTATGAAATTAAAAAACACAAACGGTGAAAGTGATTATGCAAGAAATAACAAAAACGTAATGAATGGCTCACCAAAAATGGTCCGATTTATTTTTTTTATGTTTTATTGACATTAAACATTTTCTACACCAATAAAAATACCAAGTTGTAAAAATAGGAAAATCCTAAAAATGTTGCTTCATTTTAACTCATTTTATTTGACTAATTCAGATAGCTAGACTATTTTAAATGGGCGTGTTAACCAGATATATTTTCTATAAAAATCATCTGCTTGATATGCATTCGGTGTCACTAGCCCGGCAGAATTTCCAGTGCAGCGAAAAATCTAAAATTAACACGGGAGTTCGTTAAACCTCATTTTAAAATTCCATTTTTTTTGTTGTTGTCAAACACACGACAAACTGGCCAGAGCAGATAGAACGAACAGTTGCAACAGCAAGGCCGTCGGAGGCGCAATTTTTTTGCGTTCGTTCTCCTTTCATATTATTAAAACCTGCACAACGGTTACCTACTGTTAAAGGACATCCGAGCCTGCGTTTCACATTGTTGCATGTTATATAAGCCGAAGACAATGCCTTAAAATAAAACCGTTGTAAAAGTGATTAAACCAACCATAAAAAAATAATGTTAATAATTTTTTTAACACAGAATATTAAATATTTTCTTAATTTAACCATATTTTGAAGTTATTTTAATATTTTACTTATTTTGCGTTCATAATGACTTCATTATAACACCGCTGTCGGTGCTGTAATAAGATACTTTTTCTACTCCCACCTTTAAAACGACCATTATGCTTGTGCTTAATTTAATGAGTGTATAGAAAAGTTTATAAACGAGGTGCATACTATACTTTTTATACGACAAATACTTATTATTATCTTAAAATGATTTAAATCAAAAATTTGTATAGAGCGCCATCTATGAAACAATAGGGGAATCTGTATGTCACCGTCAAATGTCACATTTTTTATTTTATTAAATGTATTTCTTGAAAATTGACAGTTTTTCACAGTGAAAGTAAAGAAAATGTTTTATGAGCACTTTACAGTGGAGTCCGTGTCCGAATTTAAGATATAGTTTACTGCCGGCGAAATTAAAAGGTCAGTACAATGTACATATAAACTTTTCAAATATTGGCGCTGAGAAACTATTTAATACTTTTGTATTTTTGTATTGAGATAATAAAATAATTTCACATTTAGTATTATTTTACAAGAAAGGCACTTTATTTTAACGATTGTATGACATTTGACAACTGTCAACTAACTTAAAACTAACTTCAGCCCGTGACTAAAAACCGGTTGCTAACTTTAGCCCGTGACTAAAGCGCCACAAAGCCACAACTTGTCAATGTGTATTTAAAAGGTCACTTAGTGTCAATACTATTATGCAACTAGTTTTTTAACTTTTCTAGTCACACATTAATTTATAAATTAAATTCGTGTCTAAAATGGCGTTTATCAAACTTGATACATACTTTACTATTATCAATAACAATCAAACTTAAATTGTGAATTTAAATCAGCTGTTTTCCCTCACAGTGTTGCCGGATTTTAAAATATTGGTGCATAAAAGAACTGACAGTCGGACAACTTTAACAACTAGGATTAATATGATTTATGAATAAACGTTATAAAAGTACAAGATCTCCAATTAACTTCTCGATTTTTGATTTATTCAACCGGCGTTTTTTAACATGGCCAAGTGATTGCTGCCAATGTAATAATATAAAATAAAAAACGCGTAATAACAGGCCGCTTGCAGTTCTAGAAGCGTGTTTGTAATCTCTCAAGGTCGTAATAAATATATATATGTATATACAGGGTGTTTCAAAAGTCAAGGACAGCTGAAAAGGGGTGGTGCCGTTTTTCGATCAGACGCACCATTAATTAGTTATTAATAAAATAAAGTAGCCAATTACAGGCGTGTTTTAGCAGAATGATTAGAGGTGGGAGAACTATAATGTGCAGATTAATATTAGAAATTCTACATAAAATCGTAGTGTAAACGAGAGGTCACCCACAGCTGGGAATCCCTGGACATTTTAGAGGGGGAATACCATAGGAATACAATGGAAATACATAGGAATACAATAAAATATAATGGGAATACATGGGAATCCCTGGACGTTTTCCCTTTGGTTGGTTGACCCCTCGAGTGTAAAATGACCTTAATTATAAGGTTGACATTGTCACTGTCAGTCTTTTAGTTTTTAGGTTAAATTTAACTAGTTTTTAGGAAACACTGGCGGCCCTAATACAGATTAATAATCGTTTTAAATGTTGTGTTTCCTACAAAGTGCCAAGAACAACCGTTTTACTCCTCTTTAGGTAAAAATAAACCTATTTCTATCAGGGCTGTCATTAAACTGTCAAATTTCAATTTTAAGGTTAATTTACCATAACCAACAAATTTAAAATTGATAGTTTGATGATAGCCCTGATAGAATAAGGTTTAAAATGGTTGTTCTTAGCACTTAAAGGCCTCTTTTCAGGCTTACAAGTGCCTCTGTAAGAAACAAAACGTTTAAAACGATTTTTAATATGTATAAACATAAAAATGGCCGCCGTTAGATTCTTAGTAGTGTTGCAGTGATTTTTAGTATACGCGAAACAAGATTAAACAGGGTTTGTTGTGTGGATTGTGATTATTAAATATTCATTCAAATTTCTCTAATTAAATAATAATGTTAAAATTAATTAATTATTATTAATATTATTATTATTATTATTTAAACCTAAAAAACCAAAACACTGTCAGTGACAGTGAAAAAATAAAATTAAGGTCATTTCACAATATGATACACGTTCATAGCCATGGAATTTCCACAAAAGTTTGTGTTGTCCCACCTCTAATTCATCTGCTAGAGCACGCCTGTGATTGGCTACTTTATTTTATTAATAACTTGGTCCGTCTGATCAAAAAACGGCAAAGATTATTCGACTTAGAATCCCATCCTCTATGCACCCCTTTTCTGCTGTCCTTGACTTTTGAGACACCCTGTATATGTGTATGCATTGTTGCCAACCGAAGAACACGGTGATAATATCTTGTAATTAATTGCCGTAGAAACGAATTCGCAGAATTTGTTTAATATTATATTATGTATCAAGTCTGATAAACGCCATTTTATACACGAATTTAATTAAGCCACCAGCGAGCTTGCGAGCGAGTTCTTAAATTAATAAGTGTATAGAAAAGTTTATAAACGAGGTGCATACTATACTTTTTCTACGACAAATACTTATTATTATCTTAAAATGATTTAAATCAAAAATTTGTATAGAGCGCCATCTATAAAAAAATAGGGGAAACTGTGTGTCACCGTCAAATGTCACATTTTTTTATTTTATAAACACAATTATAAAGATTTTAAATCGAAAATTGAAAATTGACAGTTTTTCACAGTAAAAGTAAAGAAAATGTTTTATGAGGACTACAGTGGAGTCCGTGCCCGAATTTAAATGTTCATATAAACTTTTCAGATATTGGCGTTGAGAAACTATTTAATACTTTTGTATTTTTGTATTGAGATAATAAAATAATTTTCACATTTAGTATTATTTTACAAGAAAGGCACTTTATTTTAACGATTGTATGACATTTGACAACTGTCAACTAACTTAAAACTAACTTCAGCCCGTGACTAAAGCGCCATAAAGCCACAACTTGTCAATGTGTATTTAAAAGGTCACTTAGTGTCATGGAAACAGGGCGTAGAAAATAATATTTATTGTTTAATAGTACCTATATTATTTATCAAGTTTGATAAAAGCCATTAAATGTGCCTTTTTCTATAAACGTTCATATATTCTTTTCAAATATTGGCGTCAAAAACTATTTTGTACTTTTGTATTGAGATAATAAAATAATTTTCACATTTAGTATTATTTTAACGATTGCATAACATTTGACAACTGTCAAGTAACTTCAGCCCGTGACCAAAGCGCCGTTTTAAAGGTGGGAGTGGAAACTTTTAATTTTTGTAGTTTTCAGTGGAATGCAAAGTTCCCGCTTGTGCGCCGAAATGCTAAATCGTGACTCATTCGGCGATTTTCTCGTTTTTCGTGTGGCCAGACTGCTTTATTATTGGCCACATAAGACCAACCCATGGCATTATATTCTAACATCACGAAACCGGCTAACTTCGCCCAAGGCTGTAGGTTACTCGATGTTTTTTCTTGATTGTATGCCGAGTCCAACCGATTGTGTTATACATTTTATAAATTTAGGATTTTGTATTATTACACCCAGTAATTTATTCTTTATTCTTCGAGATTAATTTTTATTTGATTAAATGTATCGTACACGTGGATTTACCTAGATACAAACATAGTAAAGCGAAAAAAAGGTTAAGTACTTGATCCCAAATCGATATAAATCCATTAACTCTGCCTTTGAGCTTTTGGCATACTTCCAATAATATACCATTGCAATAAAATAGAGGTGAATTTGTAAGCTACATTGATTTTAAAGCTGTCAAGAAAAAAATTACTCAATATTATATATATATTATAATGGTATATAAGAGGGATCAACTTGCCCACTCAAAAAAGGGTTGGATGATATTTATGGAGATTGATTTTAAAGCTGTCAAGAAAAAAATTACTCAATATTATATATATATTATAATGGTATATAAGAGGGATCAACTTGCCCACTCAAAAAAGGGTTGGATGATATTTATGGAGATACAGAAACTTCCTGTAACGATAGGAATCGCAAACAAATAAATCATCGCACAAAACCACCAACCGTAAAAGATAAGAGAACTGATTAAAATAATAAATGAATTGAACGGAAAATTAAATGTGTTGGTAATTATCGGGGTACTCGAGAGGTAACGAGATGTCACTGATTTGACTATTTATGTTTTTATTTGCTTAACAAGTCCCGAAGACTTGCTTCCTTATATAGGGAAAGCCGCAGATAACATCAGCGAGATGTAACGCAAACTCACCATTTCTCTCCTTAGTATCGCCAACTTGCTGTCCATGTTCGACATCTTCCTCGTGGCCCCCGTAGATTCATGCGGCCCCTGCTGTCTCTGTTGCTGCTGCTGCTGCTGCGCAGAAGCTTGCTGATGCTGATGCGCGGCACTCAGATGCGCGTGCTGACCGGCTTGACCGGATCGTATAGAGCTGGTGCGCACAGGAGTGGGGGGTTTGCGCGGCTCGTCCGCGCCGTGCTGATGTTGCGCGGCGTGCTCCAAAATGTTGAAGCCCGAGAGGCTTTTGGGGAGCGGCGGGAGGCCGTGGAGGTGGGACATTTTACTGATTCTGTCAAAAAAATCACAAAATTACTACCAAGTTGTACCTTATATACTTAACAGCTAAAGTAACACAGGTGAGATGTAATAAAAAAATCATAAAATTATTACCAAGGCGTACCTTATATACTTAACAGCTAAAGTAACACAGGTGAGATGTAATAAAAAAACATAAATACGCCTCTGTACAGTTAAATCAGTCACAAAAATCATAAAATTATTACCAAGGTGTACCTTATATACTTAACAGCTAAAGTAACACAGGTGAGATGTAAAAAAAAAACATAAATACGCCTCTGTATAGGTAGTTAAATCAGTCTCAAAAATCATCATAAAATTATTACCAAGGTGTACCTTATATACTTAACAGCTAAAGTAACACAGGTGAGATGTAATAAAAAACATAAATACGCCTCTGTATAGTTTAATCAGTCGGTTAAATTGATTTCCTGGCTACTCTCTCCGGTGCATTACATAAAAATGTATTGCAACGGTACATAAAATGTACGCGACAAATTCATTAGATCGCAAAAAGGAAGCTGCATGCATATCAGCGGCTGTTATAAATATTTACGTTATTAAAATTGCAGCAAAAGTTTCATAAATGTTTATTAATAAATTTATTCGCCTAATAAAATCTTATAACGTTTGGAAACATTAATTATGTTTAATATGCTATATTTTTTTCTTAAAATGACATTAGAACTAAAGCTTTTTAAACTTAATATCAAAATAAACATTTACAAAAGTTTATTTTAGATTCTAATTCTGTAGCCAGCAGAAGCCAATAAATGTCTTTAATGGTGTGGCACAGGGAACTGTTAATACACAGATAGGTGGAACAGATAAATATCGGACAATAAAAAGGCCGGGCAACATTAAAAGAGAATAAACGGCTGGAACAAAATACTATGTGTACGTTACAACGAGGTCTACGAAAAGTACGCTAACAAAAGTTCATTAACGTCCTTAAGATTGTTGTGCGGCTCAATGGATGCGTCATGGTTCTGAATCACCTTGTTTTAGATATACAGCGACGTGCAAAAGTATGAAACAAATTCATTTAAAATTCCGCCATTTTAGTAGAAAAGTAAAAAGAACCTATAGCATTATTTCCAGAAAATTATTTTCTTGAAATCTGTGGTGTAAAAAAATCTGAAATTATTTGTTAATAGGTCTGATGCCTTACAAAATCATATATTAAATTTTAAAGACATTCTATGGAAACTCTTTAAATGGAGATACCACCTTAACTGACCTAAGAATGTCAATATTTCTAAAATCAACGATGCCATACGCTAAAGTTTCTTAAAAATGTCCAAACCTAAATATAAATTATATTAGGTAAAGTTATCATTAGTTAATTTTGCACCAACAAATGTACTTACCGAATTGGATCCTTTGGCAAAACATGAAAATGCAACGATTTAGTTCTTGAATTTTATTTACAATTAAAAACACAATAATTCACCATGATCCCTTAGATAAAATACACACACTAACGTAACTATATAAGCATTTAAGCGTTGAGTTTCTTAATCAATGATATAAAAAAAAAACAATTGAAATCGAGTACTAAGCCAGTTTTATAGTTTTTTCCTTGCAAAGTAAAATACAAATAACGTGCGCGATTTACCTGTGCAATTGAACAAAATTTGTAGAGTAAGACTTCTGCTTTCCTCTCTTTTGTGAAAAAACTACCTATTTATTTAATGATGTACAGTTCGTATGCTTTAAATGTATTTTTGACAATTCTTAAATTCACGCGTTGCGAATACCCGTATACTTTATAAAACTTACTTTAAAACATTCTCTGTTTCAAGCTACCAAGAAATATGATAGTGAATAGTTAAAAGGTGTAATACGGTTGAAAGAATAGTCTTTCAGGTCTTTGGCCTCCACATTCTAAAGGGTTTTTATTAATATTTAATGTTTTTTTTTTCATGGAAAATCGTTCAGATGGGTTTTATAAACATAATATTAATGCAAATTTTGAGTTTTACATAATTATTTTATTTAACTTCCTTATAAATACTTAAATTAAAAACCGGATAATAAAATAGATACCAAAAACCACTATAAAAAGAAATTATGGTTTTTACCAACAAAATGTAATATTTTAAATTATGGTTTGGTTTCCCTTCTATAAAAAAAACATTGAATTATAATTATAAATAAAAAACATTTTTAAAATTAAAAGCGTTTTTAGATTCTTAAAAAATAAAACCTCATAACCAAAATCCGACCTTGATAAATCATTATTAAAAGTACAATCTCATAAATAGACTTTATACACAAATTTATTGCACCTGCCTGGTAAGCGTGTTGACATCATTTCTTGAAAAAAAACCTTTACGAATTTCCAATAATTTTTTATTACTTATTTAGTCATCACCTGAAGGTCACGAATATCAATTATAGAAATGAAAAAATACGTAAATAAATAAACAAAATTTGTTGAAAGGTTAAAGTGTTTACATATTCGCCAATTTGGGGTTCGCTTTATATTCACAACCATCAGCTAAACAGAGGTGAGATGTATTAACCAAACGTACCATTTTTTACAAGAAATATTTTGGCTTTAAGAATATCAACTTTTTTAAAATATATAAAATAAAGCAAAATATACAAATAGAAATCATAGCATCACGGTAAATAGCTGCATAAATTATAGAAAAATATTTGCTCTGTGATCCACTTAATCCGATCTAGTCGCTTAGGAATTCTTTACGTAAACAAACTATTGTATTGTAATCAAATTAAACAAAAATACCTTTCACAATCCAATGTCAAATCCTGCATGTCCTTTTCCGTTAATTGATTATCACTCAACGTGATCTGACAACTGGACAAGTTTACTTTTTGTCCTTTATCCCCGAGACCCACCCAATTTTCGCAGTTAATTTTTTGGTCACTTTTGTTCAGATGCTCCGTGGACTTGTGTTTTCTGTCGAAGATGTTCATGGAGGGTTTTCTTTGACGCCTCATGATTCTCTCCTGGTCCTTCTTCATGTTCTGCAGCTCGCTTATCAGCAGCTCGTGGTTGGATATGTCCTTTATTATGTCGGGTTGTTTTAAGTCCGCTTGAGGGGGATTGTTTATTACTATGACTGTCTTTGGGGATGCTTCTGTTTTCTCATTGTTTACAATTTTTATTTCCTCGGAATCATCACAACCAGATACTTCGAGAACGCTTGCAAACATCTCATCTATTAGAGTGTTGACGTGGTTTCTATCGTCAAGCATTTTATCGTAGTTTTTATCCAAACTGTTGGTGTTGCTACTAGAAGGGCTGGAGGTAACACTGCTTGGTGGTTTGGAGGGTATTGTGGTAGGGATTGGAGGTGCAATCTTTTTGGTAACATCGGGAGGATTGTCTTTTGCAGCATTATATTGTATTGGCGCACTTATATCTTCCTTAGTAACCTCTGAACTTTTTGGTTTAGCATTCGAAGACATGTACACTACAGGTCTCCCGTTGGGTTTGGCATCGTGCGAAACGGTCCTATTAAAAGTGGGCTTCCTCAGAATCACGCTGACCATCGATCTGGACTTCGCGACCTCCTGATTGGGCTGCGGCGGAGCAGGGGCTTGCCTGTTGGCTCCCCCGAGACAGACCCTTCTGGTCTTGGCCAGAGCCTGTTGCACCAGACTCTTCGAGGGCCTCGGGGGAACGGGCGGGGGCGGCTTGCCGCCCAACTTCTGCGTCGGGTTCGACCTCATCATAATCATTTTTCGTCGTTTACGCGCCGTGAGTCATGTCTGTACGCGCGCCGTCACGTTGTCGATTCTCGCGCTCGTCGGTTGCGACTGCAGGTGATCGTAGCAGGCGGCCCCGCGAAGGTCTCCTCTCCACGCCGACTGCGACGCGATGTTTCGACGATTGCTTTGATCGGGCGCGAGTGACGTAGCCTTTGTTTACTATTTTTTTTAAAGGTTTTCGCGCGGTGTTTTGCTTTGTGTATTTTTATGACAGTTTGTTTCAAAAAGTCAAAACAGCAGCTTTTATACAGCATGCATTTTGACAACGAAAAAATTCCTGCTTTACTGTTTTATGCAAGCTTTATAAATGCATGAAAACATGCTTTTTGTTTTATTGCACCTCTACTTTGTGCTAGTTGGTCTTTAGATAATGAAGCTTTATGATTAGGCTTTATAATAAGGTGACCAACTGTTCTGATTTAATCAGAACTATACTGTTTTTGAGGTCTTCATTCTGACAGGAAATCGAAGGTAGTAAAGGTTCTGATTTTCCTATTTTGGTTCTGGTCTGTTCTGATTTAGCTTACCATATAAAATATACTTCCAATTTTTATAAATCCATATATCTAAAAATAACTAGGCTAAAAACGCAAATTTTATAAGAGTTAATTTATAAATATATATATATGGGGAATTCCACGCCAAATCGACCACTTTTGACCCAACACCTTTCGATTTGACTGAACTTTTTAAATTTTTTTCTACCCCACTAAAAAAGTTTCTCATAATTTTTCCAATATTTTTACCCAACCAAAAATTTGACTAAATGGGGCGTTTTTTTTTTTGTTTTGAATGAACTTTTCAGAAAAAATACAAAATAGTTTGGGAAAAAGACATTTTTTTGAAAAATTTTTAACATGTTTTTGGTCGGGTAAAAAAAACTAAAACATTCTAAGAAAAAGTGGGGTGAAAAATATAACATAATTTCAGCCAAATCGAAAGGGGTGGGGTTCAAAAGTGGCCGATAGGGCGTGGAACGACCCATATATAAAATAACTATTATGAAATTTGTGTTTTCTATCTCAATTGAGAGTAAATAATAATAACCTAACACAGGTAGTTAGGCAAAAATAGGGCAACACCTTTTTTCTAAAAAAAATTTCGTAAAGGCCACCGCTGTTCTGGTTTTCCCCTTTACACAGTTGGTTACCTTACTTTATAAGCGACTTTCAAGTAAAGTATTTAAGCCTTTTTGCACTTATAACCGTTTGATCTTAACATTGATTTATTACTGTTAACCAATAATGCTTTTTTAGGGCAACTTGCTCCTAAGAAACGCCAATAGTCCAATAAGCTTTATGAAGGTTTATCAGATGCCTATTGGTTTTAATGGTGCTCGGAAAGTTGGCTAATGCATCTGTTAAAGCCGACTTATAGGAGCATTTGGTCTTAGGACTACTTTTCCTCTATGTAAGAATGTTACAGAACCAATCAGTAAAAAGGTTTTATGATTGTTCCTAGAAGAGCAGCAATACGCCTTTAATATAACCAATTTGCTTTCCAATTTGCAAATTTGCATCAGTGTAAACCATTTTGTGAAAATAACTCTTGTCAACATGTCGCCGCCATGCACGAGGAGTGTTTTAGAGCAGTGGTTAAAAGTTAAAAAAGTGGAAATTTTTATAGAAAAACAAATGGCATCTGTAAGAGCTGTTAAAAGTTGTTCTTCCGTGTTGTTGGCAAAACATCCGGTTGATAATACTCATTGTATCCCTTCAACTTCCTGTTCCGACCAAGAGCTAAATCCGCATCATTCTATCACATACAATTTTTAGGTGTTATCATCTGATAAAGCATTATAGCCCTGATGGCGTTACTTTTGATGAAAATACTGCAAAGTTGTTTTAAAATGCTCGCACAAAATTCCAATTGGTTTTATGATTGCCTTGAAAAATGCAGTCATAGGGCTTATTAGATTTAACAAATAGTTCTATAAACACTTTTTAAAGCAATTAGACTTTTTAGCACTTGTTTGCAAGAGTACATTGCTTTGTAACTGTAACCGCCATTTAAATTAGAAAATATTGGTTCGCCATGATGAAATAATTTTAATATAAAATACGAATAGATAATATTTTTCAGATAAGAGATGGCTTAAATTAGGCGCATTTTAGTGGGCATCATACGTTTTGGATCTCGGCAATCAACTTTTAACAGTAAAGTGGTATTTGTTTACGATTTTTGCATTTGAAAGTTACTGGTTGAGAAAAGATAATAATTTTCTTATTAAGTTTTTAAAATCAATAATGGCCTATGCTTGTGATTCATAAGGCAACAATATAGCAAACAAGTAGGTATTTGATTAAAGCAAAAAGGAATTTACAAAGTACAACAATAAAGTAAAAAGGTATATCAATAAGTACAAATTGTCAGCTAAAATGTGTTTACGACAAAAGCACACTACCTCCTTAAAACCTATTGCACTTAGCAGGTTTTATGACAGCTTTAAGGTAGGTTTTATGGCTGCTGTAAGGTGTGCCTTAGGAGTAATACAATAAAGCAAAGTTGCTTTGTGGCTGACACACAAATTGCTCCCAAGGACAGCGAAAGGATTCTCCTTTTTAGCCCTATGATGGTTTTATCGAAGCTGTATAGCTGCTGTTAAAGCGAATAGGTTTTAACTAAGCAATGCAAATTACCCTTAAGAGTAGTTTTATGGAGCCCTTGTATACCTTTAAAAAAACTATTTTGCTACTTGGTATGGTATTTTTTTAACCGTCAACCCTTTAACGCCACGAAAAAGAAACAGTCTGTGCTATACTATTCTTCAACATATTATAATTATGTAATCAAAAGTAAATAAAAACTTGTGCTCAAATGTCTTTTTAAAAGCAAAAAATAACAAGCAAGCATCTATATATAGCTATAGCATCAAAAAAGACGATTTTATAGTATTTTTTAGCATTTTTCTACTCACCAAACCATAAAATCTAGTGCATAAAATAGACTGTAAAAAATCTATAAATAAACAGTCCACGCGTGTGGGCCGAATCCACAATTCCCATCAAAATAACCTAAGCACGCTCTCCAAAAATAAAAAATAATTAAAACGACAAATTTAACACCAGAAAATCTTTTCTGGGTTCATTACAAAATTAGCTATTAATTCCGGCGAAGAAAAAATTAATTTAAAATTAGTCACTCTTACTAGCATTTGTAATGCTTATTTAATTTAAGTATGTCCACTTAACCAATACAATTTTCTCATTTTTTTTTTAAACTTAAAACAATTGATAGTAAAAAATATTGTAAATATAAATTAGGTACAACTGTAAAACGTTAAGCTTAAAAATATTGATTTTTATTATTGGATAAATTTGTAAAAAGTTATTCGAATAAGAGATTTAAGATTTAAGCAAATAATTTTGTAGAATAAAATCATAAAAATAAAATTTTTAAAAAATATTTTAACCCTAAACTTTTACATTTATATATACATATATATTGGTAGAAAAAATTTTATGTGTTTTTATTTTAAATGACATTATATTTTAATAGGGTAAAGTAGACAGTTATCGGACACTTTATAGTTATAACTTAATTGTCCAATAATTATTGGACAATTAACATTAATACTGTAAAAACAAGAGTTCTATAAATAGTTACCTTAAAGTAAAATCATTAGATGACGCTGTATACAATTATAACTATCTCAGTCGGTAATAATATGGAGCTACATTATTTTGGGTCCAATATAGGACAAAAAAGTTCGCACGTTACTTTGGTGGTAAGATTTGTTTTTTTGTTAAGAGCAGGGCTGTGTTTAAATTACAATAAAAAATATTTTTAAAAAGTGTAGAGATCAGTGTTTGCTATAAATGTGTTCCTCATGTCACTTTAATGAGTTTTAATTTTAATTCTGAAAACAAACAGTAAAATGACCAGTGTACAATTACTGGTTGGTAAAAAATGTCCAATATCAGCCAATTCTTATGTAAAATTGTCCCCTGAATCCGAAAAGACCGTCAAAAACTATAAAAGTTAAGCAGTTTTTAAGATATAGTCAATTCCATATTATAAGTAAAATTGATTATATTTCAAAAACTGTTCTACTTTTAAAACTTTTGACGACATTTTCGGATTCAGCGAAAAATATTTCATAGGAATTGACTGCTAAATGTCCAGGATACAAATTGCTGATGACGAGAATTATTAGAGGCTGCTTTTTCGCTATGACATTTTTGGCTAATTCATTTTTAGAGAGTAAGTAATACAGTGATTTCTTCGTCACAGGACATCTTGCAGAATAACAGTGATTTAAATAGAGTGCATGATAGAGAACATAAAAACTAATGGCAACAAAATTAATAAATTCGGAAAACACTTTTAACATACCACCCGAAAAAATATTAGACATATACAGGGTGAGTTTTAAGTTGACGCGTTCCTTTTAACAGCGTGTAGAAATCAGATAAACAAATAAATTAAGTAACTTTTTTATCAAAACTCAAAAATAAGAGAGTTATAGGCCTTCCAAGTTTAATTAAATTTTGTGTCGGTCCTGGCTATTGTTAACAAAAAACATAACCATAAAAATAAAAATAACTAAATAAACAATGCAAAATGTCATCTATGACAACAAACATAACCATTTAAATCATAGATAATCATAATCATAATCATAGATTTAAATCAAAATGACATTTAGCAATAAAAAATGTCAGTTTTTTTGTGCCTCAGTTATTGTTAAAAATGGTTCATAATTATATCAATAATGAATTAGTGGAAATGTTACTAATTTATGGAGAGTGTCGTCAAAATGCAAATGCTGCAACTTAAGTAAATAATGACATTTTTTATTGCAAAATGTCATTTTGATTTAAATGGTTATGTTTGTTGTCAAATATGACATTTTGCATTGTTTATTTTGATATTTTTATGGTTATGTTTTTCGTTAACAATAGCCAGGACCGGCTTAAAATTTAATTAAACTTTGATGGGCTATAACTTTTTTATTTTTGAGTTTTGATAAAAAAGTTACTTAAAATATTTATTTGTCTAGCTGATTTCTACACACAGGAACGCGTCAACTTAAAACTCACCCTGTATAAATCATCCTGTTCTGGCCTAAACATTATAAATGCTTCAGAAACTAGAGATAGCACACTTGATATTTGCAACAAACTATTTTAGAAGT